GAGACAATCACAGTAAACTACAGAAGTCTAAAGTGTCCAGATTGCTATAATTCACCACATTATTCTGATATTGAGTGTCTATGAAACTGCTTCTGAGTTAATTTACTTTCTCTTTGAATAAAATAATCAATTACCATAATTGCATTGTGTTTTACTTATATTATCTTATGGAATTGTTCTTATTGTGATTGCAAAATTTCTGTGAAATTTTCTATAATATACAAAATAAACAGCTGATATTGAGTTGATCACTATTTTCTTAGCTATAATAAACAAATAAAATATCCTGTTTCTCATGATGTGATTTATGGTGATGGGACACCAAACCTCTAATGTGTGCTTTGTTCAATCACAAGCAGCTCTGCATTAATATGATCTTATTTTAGCTGTTATCATGCGCCTCGTTTGTCGTCTGAAGTGTTGAGGAGACAATCACAGTAAACTACAGAAGTCTAAAGTGTCCAGATTGCTATAATTCACCACATTATTCTGATATTGAGTGTCTATGAAACTGCTTCTGAGTTAATTTACTTTCTCTTTGAATAAAATAATCAATTACCATAGTAGAAAGAGAAGTGAAGGGTGGGTGCTCTTCAAGAGAGAATCTTTAATTATTTTGCATGGCCTGAGCCTAAGGATTTAGACATTTTTATGTGAAGGCCATACAAATAATAGGGTTGTCTGTGGTTTCAAAATTTGTTGTGGGTGTATGGCCTGGATGAGTGTGAGATTTCCCGGCCTGAAGTGGTGTCCCAGTCCGGCCCTGCTTCACATCCTTCAATCACTGTCACGATTTCCCACTGGATTGCCCATCATCTCCACCAGAGGGCACTCCATCCATGACTCTTACTATTCACCCAGGACTCCATTTCCCATAATCCTTTGCCCGGACTCATCAGCACTCAACAGTTGTAGTCGCCTGTCTCTCATCACCTCATCAGTCACACACTATAAGAATGGCACACACACACACACACGCACAGCTGATGATTGTTGAGCCTGTAGTGGTCTCCTTGTTCCCCTGCCCTGTTTCTGACCCTGGACTGCTTCCTTGTTTTTGGTTGTTTGTTGACTACTTATTCCTCACCTCCTCACGGGTCAATTAGAGAATTGAACTGTCCTTCAAGATCAGTGTTGCCAATTTAACTACTTCGTAGCTAGATTTAGTGACTTCCCCGCCCCTTTTGAGACTTTTTTCAAAAGTTTAGGGACAAATATAGCAACTGCTTGGACAAACCTTATCTAAGTTCTCATCTTGCCCACTGATCTATGTTCATCTTTATATAGATCAGTGAATTTGCCATTGTGATGTCATCTAGTGACATTTAGCTACCAGTTTTAGCTACTTTCAATTGAAAGCAGTTGGCAACACTTTTCAAGATGTCTTAATCTGATCCGTTTAACGGGTCACAGGCTGGAGGACAGAGAAGTGAGGAAACGAGGAAGCATCAGTTTGAGAAGTGAGCAGCACCCAGTGCACTTACTGCTGCGTTTCCTGTTTAAGGCTATTTGAGTCCGTTTGAGTGTTTACAGACTTCTTTTGTTGGACTTTGAAGCTGATGACATAATGTTGAATGTACAAATATGGCTCTGCCAATAGTTTAAGTGTGACTGAAAGACTTTATTCTTGTCAAAGACCAGTGCGAAATGAAACCACTTCCTGTGTAAACTTAACACTTTTGAAAATGCTAATAAACATTTCAAAGACCCCACCTCATCTGTGAAGACGTAGTGTCCGACACAGTGGATAATGGATTTAGAGGCTATTTATGAAAATGTTGAAAGCAGAGATATTAAGAACACAACTGGACCTCAAACTCAGAGTCAAGGCCAGGATGAAGGAAAAGATCTTAAGCGCAGTAAGAAGAAAATTACTTTAAAGCAGAAATGGTTTTGCAGATTGTGATATTAATAGTGTCACTATGAAGAAATGATAACCGTCACACAATTTCAAATATTTATATGAATGAAATGTCAATGTTTCTGTTTGTAAATGAAGTGTATTAGCATGGACTTATCTTTCTGTTGACTTTTTCAAAATGTTCTTGTTTGCATATTTGATAACAATTCCAGATGACTTATAAAAACATACTCCTAAAACATAAAAAGCATGTCTATTACCAAAAGCAATAGTAGATTAGAGGTTGATTTTAAACTTAATTTCTAATAACATGAAGAGTATTAACTGATATGTGTGTGTTTTGGTGGTGTTTGTCAGGAGGAAGTAGATGTTTGGTGTTGATCACAGTGGGTCTCGGGCTCATTTGTGTTCTTCTGCTGGTCTTCATCATACTGCAGCACATCACCATCACAGCAGAGAGAGACCTGATAAAGAGTTACAAGAACACAGTTGAAGAGTTCAATCAAACCATCAACAGCTTACAGGACAGTTACACTGATCTGATGACTGAAAAACACCAACTGCAGAACAACTTCAACTCTTTGAGTCAGAAGAAACAGGAACTGGAGAATAGAGTAGCTGCTCTGAGTGAGGAACTTAAAAAAGAAGCAACTAAGCGAGGCCAGTTCACATATGTTTTTATGTTGTTTTTTCTTTTTTTATCTTTAATGTACACCATTTTATTAAAGTGCATGTTTCTGTGTGGTCCAGGTTGGTTCTTCGTGTCCACTGAGTTGAAGAGCTGGTCTGACAGCAGACAGTACTGCAGGGATCGTGGTGCTGATCTGGTCATTATCAACACTGAAGAGAAGCAGGTGAGTTTGTGTGAGTGTCTGTTAATGAATGAGAGCAATCACACTTATTCCTGGTTTTATTCACACAGAGGTTCATATCTTCATTCGTCAGTGAGAGAGTGTGGATTGGTTTGTCTGACACAGAGAACGAGGGCATCATGAAATGGGTGGATAATTCACCACTGAAACAAGGGTAAGAGCTAAAAATCACTGTGTATTCATTTGTTTTAGACTTTTTGATTCTCATTATAAAATCACAACCTTCAGAAAAAAGCAGAAGAGAAAACTCTTCCACAAACAACACAACCACAATTAAAGACATTTTAAATACTGTAAATTCAATTAAGAAAACTCTTCTTCTCTCTTTTACTTTTCACTTCTGCTCCAGCGTCTGTAGTTTACTCTCGAAACGTGCAATTACTCTGAGTATTGTTGATTCATAAATTTGTGTTTCTGAAAAACTGAACCTCTGATACATGTTGTTCAGATTTTGGCTCAAAGGTGAGCCAAACAACTACTATGAGAATGAGGACTGTATTGAACTGAATTATAAAAGAGATCAGGTGGAAATGTCACCGCTGAACAGCTGGAATGATGTGCCATGCTCTGAGAAGAAAAAGGGGATTTGTGAGAAATAGGGTTCATCCCGTCTTGTGGTCTTGCTTTTATTATCTAATATAATCATCCTTATTGTCAACACATAAGTTCTGATTGAGGTCCCTGCCTTTTAAAACACTGTCAGCTGATCTGAAATTTGTTAGAAGGAAAATGTAAAAGTGTCATTATTTTCTTATTGCTATAATAACCTTTGTTTCACTTGATGTGAATTCAGGACACAAAACCTCTGATGTGTTCATGTTTTGCTCCATCACAAGCAGCTCTATATTAATATGATCTTATTCTAGCTGCTATCTTGAGTCTCATTTGTTGGTCTGAAGTGTTGAGGAGACAATCACAGTAAACTACACAAGTCTAAAGTGTCCAGATCACCCAGATTCACCCTGTTATTCTGATGTTGAGTGTCTGTAATTGCTTTCTCTTTGAATAAATTTGTCAGTTGCCATAGTAAACTGCACTGTTATTTTCATTTTATTTTTAATTCATTCTTATCTGCTTCATTTCTGTATGGAGAGATTTCCTCCAGTCCAGCAGAGAACAGGTTATCAGACTGAAGTGCTCAAGAAAGCCAAGTGTTTTTTCCGCCAAATTATAGATATTTACGTGTTTCAATCTTCCGCAGTGTATTCGGTACTAATGTAGTTACGTAGATTTAGAACTTAAATTGATTGCAGCTGGTGATGGGAAAAACAAACCTTTTTGAAGCTTCGAATCAACTGAACCAATTGCTTCGCAAAATGATTCACTGTTTCGAAGCGCTGTAAACCACACGCTGGTGACGCCTGCTGGTCAAAACTGTGTATATGCAACAAAAACTCATTTCAAAAACATGCATAAAAGCAGCTTTTACAAACCCAATGCAAGTGCTTAATTGAAAGTATAATATATTAAATGCAATTAAAATAATAAAATACCATTAAATATGAATTGTCGGTATGTGTTTCTTAAAATAATTATTATTAATTTGCAGGGCTTGTTTCGTCTGTTTTGTGGAGAGCTTGTCTAAACAGGGCAATACGAGTCTATTAACTACTATGCATCCTTTTAATTACACACAAATGTCTCGTTGAAATGTCTACAAACTGACAAAACTAATCCGAGATCATATAAAACGTCTCAGGTTACTTATGTAACCATGGTTAACTGATATGTAATGCATTTAAAGGGGAACGTATGAAGAATAAATAATGTTAAAACTAGAATTGTAGCTTGTTTCCCTCCATCAAAACAATTGAATATTAGGCCCATTAACTTGTTCTTTCTGCTTTTATATCAAGTATATTAACATGGAATTGTTTTTCTACTTTTCCAGCATGTGGTCTTGTTTGAATATTTTACTTATGTTTGTCTTTCTAAAAGAAAACGCTTTTTAAATACCCTATATTTTCTAAATACGACAGTGGATTGAAGGATGATTTTAAATGTTGTATCGAATAATTTGGAGTGAATTGTTATTGATATTTGATGCTTTTTACTGACACAGACCTGTGATGGGATAAAGTTTGTTAATACATAACTGTCATGGTTTTCGTTTGTCAGAAGTTTACGTTTGCATAAAGTATGCTGATCCTTATGATTCAGAGAAGAAAATATACTTGCAATAGAAACTCAAGTACTGCATCATGCGCCACCACATCTTATGATTTTGTAACCAGCTTTGGAAATGAAATCACTTCCTGTAGGGTTTTAAAAACACTAGGCAACATACTAAAAATCACAACTCATCTGTGAAGACGGTCAGCCACAGAGACTAATGGAGATCGAGAACATTTATCAAAATGTTGAACACAAAGACATTAAGGACACATCTGGACCTCAAACACAGAGTCACAGCCAGGATGAAGGAAAAGCTCAAAAATGCAGTAAGCAGAAGGTTTCTTTTGAAGCAGAGATTGAGGAACTAAAAACTGTTATACAATTTCAGTCACTGTTTTCTATGAACACAGTTTCTGATTTTACATGAAGTGTATTAACATTTTAACATCATTATTTTAAGCATAATCATGTTTTTGAATACATATTTTACTTTATAGGAATTCCAGATGTTTGTCATTATAAATAAACATACACTTTACTTACAGGTTGATCTAATGATATTCAGTGAATTGTCATTAATTGATATTTGTGTGTTTTGGTGGTGTTTGTCAGGAGGAAGTAGATATTTGAGGTGGATCACAGTGGGTCTCGGGGTCAAAACAATTGAATATTAGGCCCATTAACTTGTTCTTTCTGCTTTTATATCAAGTATATTAACATGGAATTGTTTTTCTACTTTTCCAGCATGTGGTCTTGTTTGAATATTTTACTTGTTTGTCTTTCTAAAAGAAAACGCTTTTTAAATGCCCTATATTTTCTAAATACGACAGTGGATTGAAGGTTGATTTTAAATGTTGTATCGAATAATTTGGAGGGAATTGATATTTGATGCTTTTTACTGACACAGACCTGTGATGGGATAAAGTTTGTTAATACATGACTGTCATGGTTTTCGTTTGTCAGAAGTTTATGTTTGCATAAAGTATGCTGATCCTTATGATTCAGAGAAGAAAATATACTTGCAATAGAAACTCAAGTACTGCATCATGCGCCACCACATCTTATGATTTTGTAACCAGCTTTGGAAATGAAATCACTTCCTGTAGGGTTTTAAAAACACTAGGCAACATACTAAAAATCACAACTCATCTGTGAAGACGGTCAGCCACAGAGACTAATGGAGATCGAGAACATTTATCAAAATGTTGAACACAAAGACATTAAGGACACATCTGGACCTCAAACACAGAGTCACAGCCAGGATGAAGGAAAAGCTCAAAAATGCAGTAAGCAGAAGGTTTCTTTTGAAGCAGAGATTGAGGAACTAAAAACTGTTATACAATTTCAGTCACTGTTTTCTATGAACACAGTTTCTGATTTTACATGAAGTGTATTAACATTTTAACATCATTATTTTAAGCATAATCATGTTTTTGAATACATATTTTACTTTATAGGAATTCCAGATGTTTGTCATTATAAATAAACATACACTTTACTTACAGGTTGATCTAATGATATTCAGTGAATTGTCATTAATTGATATTTGTGTGTTTTGGTGGTGTTTGTCAGGAGGAAGTAGATGTTTGGTGTTGATCACAGTGGGTCTCGGGCTCATTTGTGTTCTTCTGCTGGTCTTCATCATACTGCAGCACATCACCATCACAGCAGAGAGAGACCTGATAAAGAGTTACAAGAACACAGTTGAAGAGTTCAATCAAACCATCAACAGCTTACAGGACAGTTACACTGATTTAACACAGAACAAAATCAAGTTAGAAAGCAAAGTCAGGTCTCTGAGTGATGAACTGAAGAAGGCAGCATCAAAAGGAGGTTAGATCAAACCTGTTTTTGTATAAGTTTTTTCCCCCATATTTTTGTATAGCTTTGAAAAGTGTTTATGTATGAAAATCTGTGTGGTTCAGGTTGGTTCTTCATGTCCACTGAGTTGAAGAGCTGGTCTGACAGCAGACAGTACTGCAGGGATCGTGGTGCTGATCTGGTCATTATCAACACTGAAGAGAAGCAGGTGAGTTTGTGTGAGTGTCTGTTAATGAATGAGAGAATCACACTTATTCCTGTTTTTATTCACACAGAGGTTCATATCTTCATTAGTCAGTGAGAGAGTGTGGATTGGTTTGTCTGACACAGAGAACGAGGGCAGCATGAAATGGGTGGATAATTCACCACTGAATCAAGGGTAAGAGCTAAAACACTCAGAAAACTTTATTTATTTGTTTGAGACCATGACAACCTTCAGAAAACACTAATCATAGTTTAACCATGGTGTTTGTAAATCTGCAGTTATACAAATGGGAATCAATACACCAAAAAATATGGTTACAACACTTTTATCCCAGGAGTGTACCCCGACACGTAATTGCTTACAACTAAACACTATTTAAGCTAACGATAGCTAGCTAGCGATGCTGTCTCGTAAACGACATCATAATGGTATTCTTGATGATCGATAACTTACCTTAATAGTCATGAATATAACTGAATGTGTACTAGGGCTGTGCAATATATCGAAATTATCGAAATATCGCAAATATACATATCGCAATATGCATATTGCTACGGCTTACAATATATGGGGCCATGAACAAAACACAAAGAGAAAATCACGGAATTTGTTGTGGTTTTACAGGAACATACATGCATACAAATAACCATATATATATGACACAAGATAGTTATAGAAGTTCACAGAACTGACTCAGCAACAGCTGAGTAAAACTGTTTCATCTGAGCATGTGGCACTTTAAGCATTATCGTATCACATATCGACTATCGCATTATTTAATGAGTTATCGCATATCGCATTTTTCTTCAATATCGCACAGCCCTAATGTGTACACAGGGTTGCCAACTTTGGTTGCCTGGCTGGAGTGAGATTAGTTGCATATATACTGACTCCAAGCTTTTGAATGGTATAGTGTATAATGTTACAAAAGCTTTTTATTTCAGATAAATGATGATCTTTGAATCTTTCTATTCATCAAAGAATCCTGAAAAATGTACTCAAC